ATCGTTGTCCTTAAATGCGTTTTTACTTTTTTTAATGTGCTAAAAGATCTTTCTGCAGTTGTCAACCTAACGGGTAATGTCAAATATAACATTAGTGCTGCGATTATTTCAGTGAAAGTGCAACTTATATCACAATATGTTATTGTTATTAATTTGAGAAAACCCAAAATACTGTCCACATCTTTAATCTCCATTTTGAAAGTTTTTTTAAACAAAATCATTTGATTTGGAAAGGCATCGAATATATTTATCGCATATTTATTTCGCATATTTGTGGCTGTTTAAATATTTTGTCAGAACCTAATAATATTATATTTTTGTGATTAAAAAATGAAAAGTAACTATTTACTGTTTTCAGGGACTTAAAACTATCTGATTTTTAACTATATCTATAACTATGTTAAATACATTAATTTTAAATTGATGTAAAACGAAAATCTACTCAACTGTCATCAAACAGTTTTTTTGTTCGTTTCATTCGTGTTTGTTAAAAGGTTGGAATTATATTCCATTTTATAGCAAGAGCTTTTGCTTTTGCAAGATTATTATCAAAATTATCACGCAGCGATTTTATTTCTTTTATTCCAGTTATGGTATTGTTTTTCTAATAATGAACAAACTTTATCCAAATCCATATTTTTAGATTGCAATAATTTCGAAACGATATTTAATAGTGCTAAAATTTCAATAATTGACACTAAAATACAAAGAAAATCTAAACAATCCATTTTCTTTCTTAAACAGGTTGCTTGTGCTATTTCTGCTTTTTTATTGCTTTCCAAAATAATTTTAAATAAAGCTTTTATTACATCTATATATCTACGTTTTACGGCTATACAAGATGATGAACAAGACGCCGAGGGTGTAGGGTTTATTTTATTAACGTTATTTATAATTTTCCTGTTATTTTTGAAAATTTGTTCCACATATTTATGCTAATTCCAAAAAATGTATATGTTTCTTGTATACTAGAAAAAAAGTTGGTAATATCTGGCACCCTATTCATAGCATCATTTATAACTAAACTAATTTTGTGAGCCGCACAATGATTAATATTGCGTTTTTTTTTACTTCTTTTATTCTTGTTTTTACCCCAGAGTAAACGCCACTCATGTTGCTTGCCCCATCATATCTTGTACCCTACATTTTTTCAAATCAAGACCAATCAATTTTAGTATATCAATAATTGGATTTGATATTGCACTTGCCGATTGATTGTTAACTTTAAAAAACCCTATAGATTTTTCTTAGATTTTTATTAGGAGAGGAAATCTATTTATATTATAACAAATTTTAACAAATCGAAAGGACATACTAAGTTGGTCTGTTTTAGATTTTAATCATCTTTAGGAAAAGGTCCTTAGGAAAAGGATGACAAGGACCGACAGATAAAATGAATTTATTTTCTTCTACCGCTTTCAAATGTTTCATTAGCTACTTTTTATTTTTTTTCTTTCTGAAACCACTTGTTAAACATTTTTCTTCTTTTTTCTTGTTATTCATTTTAATTACTTTGTTTATTAAAAGACAAAATTGTCTTTTAATAAACAAAGTAATTAAGTTTTTTTTTTTTTAATAAAAAGACATTAAAAAAATAATAATAAAAAAATCATAACACCTAAATTACAAAACATAAATAAAAAAAACAGAAAAGGCCCAGAGTTATTAGGGGCCTTGCTCATTCGCTTTAAAAAAAAAAAAGAACGTCTTCTTTTTAAAACAAAAAAAGCTTTACCTAAAAAAAAGGAAATTGACAATTATTGAGTATTTTATTATTCAAGTTTAAAAATTATCAATTTATTTATCCTACAAACATCATAACAAAGCTTTTCTTTTCTTTTCTTGTTCAAATGGAAACTATTTAAGAAATTTTACTTTAGATACTGGACTGTCAGTTTTGATATCGTCTATACACTTGTAGCATCAATACACGTACTCTGCATTTTGTCCGAAAAAACAGAGTGACAAGGTGCAAAATGCCGCAAAACGTAAGGTAAAACAAAGACGACTTTTATTATTTAAAAAAATCCTTTCTCGTGGCTACGAATCCACTCTAAATTTACAAGCTAGTATTTCCGTATAACTTTTTGAAAATGTTGGACACGGGAATAACTATACAATTTTTCTTATTTATAAATAAGGTAACTATTTTATTTGAATCAATGATATATTATATACACTAGATCTCTAACTTCAATCCGAAAAGTACATCCGCTCCGATAACATAAACTATATTATATTTGCCTTTTTTACAAATGACATGTAGTATATATAAGCCCAAAAGACATTTAGTATATATAAGGCCAAAACTACCGGGGGGGCATTATTGTTTTGTTACAAATTCCCCCCCCCCCTAATATTTTTTCAAAAATATTTTTAAAGTTAGTTTTTAAAAAAAAGTAAACAATTACAAAGAAATAAAAGAAAATAAAGATTAGAAAGGACCTAATTTGTTTTCTGTAATTTGACTCACTACTATTTATCCTACATAGTACAATTG